TTCCTGAGAAGTTCTGAAATGCGACTGATCACTCTAGTCTGATTCATGAATTCCGGAAAAGACAGGAGAAGCAAAGCTAAAAGGTGTTTCTAGTTGTGGGCAGAGATGGCAAAACCTCTCCCTCTCTTCCCCAACCGCCTCCCACCGCCTCCACCATAGCCTATGTTGGAGGAGCTCCGTAGAATTAGACTTGGCTCCATTACAGGCTCTGCCTTTTTTTTTTCCTTCCTGTGCAACTATAGACAAGTCAGGACGCTCGGTACTGTATCCGAACTGCAAAGGTCTTTGGCACGACCATGGAGGGAATTTCTGTGCACAGAATGGCAATGACTTGCCCAAACTCTCAGCCTACAGCAGAACTTGAATTCAAACCCGAGTAAAACCAACCACTCAGTTTTCACGAATAAGTGGAGGAATAACGATGTGCACACAGCATTGCTTCCGGAAATTTGGAAGACCAGATGCGGACCAAACAGCTGTGCATCACTTCCTAAAGCGCCAAAACGTCGTGGAAGATCACTGCCAAGTGGCGATGCAGAGCCAGGACTGCAGCCGCAGCCCAAGTAGGCGCCTAAGTCCTGCACCGCGGGCGCCGCCATCCAGACCCAACTCCATACAGCAGACGCCCCCTCGGCCAGCGCGGCCCAGCCCCGGGAGGGCGTATAAAGGAGGCGGTGTGTGCATCCCGCCGCGACTCACCTGTCACCCGGGCCGCGCCAGGGCGCACGCGCAGGGCCGGCGATCACGCGCAGAGTGGGCGCCCCGTCCTCACCCTTCAGTCTTCGCAGGACTACCCTTTTTTCCCCAGCCCCGGATCTTCTGCCGGCTGGACCCGGCTTCCGCCCCGGGCCCCCCACCCACCCGCTGGCTGTCACATGACCAAAGGGGCGGAGACCTGGGAGGGGCATCATGTGACCATTGGGCGGCGACAGCTGAGGACGCATGAGCCTGCGCTCAGCGTTTCAGCTGCAAGGGAAAGGAGTTAAGGAAGGAGTTGGGGTCTGGTGTGGGAAGTCGGGGTGCGGCCAGACGGATCTAGGTCGGGCAGCCAGGTAAGTCAGAAACGGGGGGTGGCGATGCGGGGGGTGGCGGGAGGTGTCGCCTCCTTGTGCGCTGCACAGCTGCCCTGAGCTGGGCTCTCTGGACCTGGGCTTTGGGCCTGGTTCTTTTCACCTTTAGCAGTGAAGCTGGGGCAGTTGACCTACCACTCCGGGACGTCATCTCTCCATCCTTCAGCCCAAGTGTGTGGGGAAAAGATCACGAATTCTTCGTGCGGACTAATCTGGTTTGAGCTTTGAAATCAGGGCCTTGGGCAGCGCGTTTAAGTAAACACTCTGAGCCTCAGTTTCCTTTTCTCGTCTGTAAATGGTTGTGAGGATTAGCAATGAGAACGAAGTTTCCAGGCACCAGTTTATGGGCACGGGGAGCCGAAAGGGTGGTTTGCCATTACAGTTTTAACTGTCCAAATGTTTACTGACGCCTATTTAGTGTAAGGAGCGGTTTTATATGCTGGAGAATATGTCACAGTTCTAGTTCCTGTGGCTCCCAAGGTGAAGGAGTGGCAGACATAAGAGCAAATACTTCTGATGAGCTTTACTGAGTCTTATAATAGATGTGTGCATGTGATTGTGATAGGCATAGTGGTAGCAGGAGGCAAGGAATGAGCTGTCGCTTGTGCGGATAAGAGAAGTCTTCGCAAAGAAAGCTGTGTTTTGAAAAAGAAGACACAGCTCTGGCTGAACTTGGATAGGCCCCTGTAGACTTAAGGTGGTCAGCCTAGGGTCTATAAATTGTTGTGTGTCTACTACTGTGTTGTACAGGAAGATGAGAAGAGGCAACAGTAGAGAAGTGTTTTTACATTAGCTGGTAATTGGTCTTGCTTACAGAAAAATCTTACAGACCTGCTACGGCCTGAATGTTTGTGTCCCTTCCCAACCCCACATCTGCTACATTGAAATCCTAGCGCCAGTTTCTGGGTTTTAGGAGATGGGGCCTTTTGGAGGTGCTTAGGCCAGGAGGATGGAGCCCTCATGAATGGGGTTAGTGCCATTATAAAAGAGGCTCCAGAGAACTCCCTTCCCTTTCTACCTTGTGAAAACAAAGAGTAAGAAGGCATGGGCTATGACCAGGAGGAGGGCTTTCACCAGAACGTGACCATGCAGGCTCCTTGATCTTGGACTTCCCAGCCTCCAGAATTGTGAGAAATAAATGTCCATTTATAAGGTACCCAATCTGTGGTATTTTATTACAGCAGCCTGAATGGCTCAAGACAAGGCCTGTAAGGGGAGGCACAATAACATGCTGGGGAAAAACTCGGCAAATACATAACCTTGTTTTATTATTGGAGACCATAGGTACAGGGAACAAAAAGATTGTTGTTTCTTGGGGAGGGCACCAAGAGGAGGTTGATTTAAACCGGGATTTCTCAACCACTGCACTATTGACATTTGAGGCCAGGTAATTCTTTGCTGGGGGAGGGGGTTGTCCTATGAATTATGTACTTTGCTATACTTAGTTGGAGAAATAGGGAAAAGTGGGTCTACTTCATCTTTCCTCTCCATCCATTCTCTTAACTTCTCAGGCTGAATCTTTTCCCTTGAAAAACTCCAGAATTACAGAAGGAAATTTTCTCCAGATCTCTGCAAGTGGAAAGTTTCACTGGAGTAATGTGAATTTTGCATTCAGATAATAAGGATAGCTACCATGTGGTATACGCTTTGCATTTTACTGGATTGTATTAATTCTTACATATACTGTGCCTTGGCAGTTTGAGCTGCTATAAAAAAAATACCATAGATGAGTGGTTTAAAAAACGGGAATTTATATCTTGCATTTTTGGAGACTGGACGTCTGAGATGAGGGTGCTGGCACATTTGGATCTGGGCCCTTGTGACTTGCAGAAGGCCCCTTTCTCACTGTGTCCTTACGTGGTAGAGAGCAAGCAAGCCATGTTGTTTCTTTCTCTTCTAATAAGGACATTAATCTCTTCAGGAGGGCCCCAAGCTCATGCATAACGTAATCTGAACCTAAAAGCCACCTTTCCAAATATTATCCAAATACATTGGGATTAGGGCTTCAACATACATATTTTGGGGAGGACTTAATGATCTCAATGTTCTCCATACTTGTTTGGCCCTAAGGAACATTAGGGTGTTCATAAAAATACACATTCCTCAGAAAGTCCTTAGTAATGCTGTGAGGTAAGTATGATTATTTCCTTTTTTACAAAGGAGCAAACTGAAGATAGAGAAGTTAAACAACTTAACCAAGGCCATACAGTCTTAAAAGGCATGGGCAGGACAGAATTTCCAGGCATCTATGTCCAGTGTCCACTTTCTTAACACTGCTCTGTATTGTTGCTCACAGCATTATAATGATGAAGTTGACGGGAATGTTCATTTCCACTTTTAAAGACTTACGTGCTTTATTATACTTGTTAACGCATTCAGTCGTCACAGTAATCCTTGAGGTACACACTAGATCATTCCTATTTTACAGAAGGGAAAAGTGAAGCATTAAGAGATTAAATAACTTGATTAAAGCCATTCAGTTATTCAAGTGACAACGTCAGTCTGTGAACTCAGGAAATCTGGGTTCAGAGGCTGCAAGCTTAATCCCTACTTTATATTGCCTCCATGTTTTACTCTACCATGTAGCCAGCATTTATTTTAGTGTAAGCATGTTTCATGTTACCGTTAAGTAAAATTGATATTCCAGTGAGATATGCCCTGTTTATACTATAGCTTGCCCACCTCTTGCTTTCCTCCTAGTTCATAGAAATAGTACACTTTGATAATTATTTCTCCAGAACTGTCCTGTCCAGGGTAATAGCTACCAGCCACATGTGGTTATTTAAAGTTAAATCGGTTAAATAATATTTAAAATTCAGTTCCTCAGTCATGTTAACCACATTTCTGGTAATCGATAGACATATGTGCCTAGTGTCCACTATATTGGAAAGTGAAGATTATAGAACATTTTTGTCATGGCAGAAAGTTCTATTGGACAGCACTGTTCTAGACAATTTAGAGTAACACCCAAATCAAGACTGACTAGAAAACTGAATACTTGAACCATATCATTTGATCCTTGCAGGACTGTGTTTTATGACTAACAATTTGTGCCGTAACAAGTAAGCCCCAAATCTAAATGGCCTTGCTTTTATTTTTGGCTTTGCACAATTCAAGTTTTTATATCTTTCATGTGTGGAGCCTGATTGGTGGGCAGTGTTGCACCAAGCAGTGATACAGTATCCTAGTGATCCTCCATCTTCACTTACAGCTTCTGAGGTCACTGTGCTGCTTGTTTCCAGCTATCAAATGGGAAATATTATTGACAAAGTGTGTGGTTTTAATGGACTGAGCCTGGAAATGGCTTATATGGTTGAAGGGGAAATGAGTTTGATGGGCACGGAGCTAGTATCTGCCATAAGTATCTTGTTGTTAGCTTACCCTGAGGAATAACTTAAGAAACAGTTCTAGGAAGCTTATTAGTGCATCCATTGTAAGGCCATTATTGAGGATATCTTTTATGACTCTTATTATCTCATGTATGATGACCCATGCAACCTTGATTGCCATGGAGAGATTTATTTTTCCTGAGTTCATCTTTACGGAGAACGAGAATCCTATAACTCACTTTTTAATCAGGAAACTCATAGCTGTGTAGAATCCTAAAGAATTCTTACCCTTGCATGATTGCATTCTAATTTTCTCAGGTACTTGATTTTCCCTTTAATCTGTTTTTTGACCCTGATTTTTATGAATTTACATCTTTCCATCTTAGTGCATATGTTTGTAACATATTGTGTAACTGTCTCAACTTATTTGGTATGGCAGAGTGAGTTTGTAAATGAATACTCTTATTTCACCAAACTGCAAATGTTCAAAAATCATCATCGGTTTTTCATTCATATTCATAGTCATATTTTCTCTCTTGGTGTGAAATTTTAATACCACAAAAAGTCCCCCTAATATCATACTGAGAACCTTTGTCCTGTCATCTGGATTTTATCGTCTGTAACATTTTGCTATATTTGCTTCAGGTCTTGATTTTTAATATAAATTTAAAAAATAGATAAAGCTGAAAATCCCATTTGACTGCCCTAGGCCCAACTGGACCAATTTTTTACCCTCTATTAAGACTGTCTACCCTATGCTCCAAAATATATTTACTGAATATTTGTTAATGAATGATTTGAATTGATGAGTTGTGGCTGTTTGTCTGTAGTAGATTAACCTGTCTGTCAAAAATAGAAATCAGCATCTTAGGCATCTTCTCTGAGAACCCTGTGTCTTTTTTAGTGAGTCTAATGACTGACACAGTAAGGTGTCCGTCCCTGTCCATTGAATCAGTGAAGTGAATCTAATTAAAAAGAATCAACAATTGAGAAACTACTGTAGTAGTCCCGGTGTGAGATTAAGGTGGTAGCTTGGAGAGGATAGAAATGCCAGAGGTCCTGGACAGTTCTCCACAGGGGAAAGTAAGGGCAGGAGGCAGGTCCCAATGCTACTTAATTGTGCAGTGTGTGCTGGTCCACAGTGAGATGCCCCTTCCATCTTAAAAGATGATAAACCTGAGTTCTCAGAGGCTAAAGCAATCTGCCCATGGTTACTCAAGAGTTAAGTGGCAGGGCCTGAATTCAAGCATTGTCTGTATGATTCTAAGAAAGTACCTTCTTTCTACTAACTTGTACAGACTGAATAACCACCTTCCCATCCCTCTAAGCCTGTGTGATTTCTCCCCACTTTTCTAATTGGTGTCAGTGGATTGAATTTCAGGTAGCTTCTGAATTAAGCAAAGGTGTCTCTCTTTGTAGGGAGCTTTACTAAGTGGTCCAAAGCTTAAAGATTTGGTAGTTGAAGATACAGATTAGGGAGTGTTTAATATGAAGGTAATAACTGAAACTGTTATAGTGGATAAGCTACCAGAAGATAAGAATTTATAGGGAAATTCTGCTTTTACTGAAAACAGAATCTGGGATCTCCCCAAGTGTTTAAATCTGTCAGAACCCAGAGGACTATCAGGGATGCACACGCACACACACACACACACACACACACACACACACA